GCTACTCAGGAAGGTGCATCCAAAGGCTCCCTGGAGCCACTGCATGCCAGAGGGGATGCCAGGCAGCTTGCCATATGCACTGGCTCCATCCCAGGGTTTTCCCCCCTGTTTACTGGCTGTAGTAGTAATCCTGGCCATACACATCATATCCATGCCCTTTGTAGTAGCCGTACTCATCCTCGTAGGCCCGGTAGCTGTCCCCACGTGCATATTCATCCTGTTCCTCGTACCCACCCTCGGTGGTGCCCGCATCCCATCGGTTGTTGTCCCTGGCTGTTACATCGTACTCCCACAGCTCCCCAGCTGTGGTGGCATCTGTGGTGACATCTGTGGGTCCCCCGTCATCCATAGTGGTTGCCTGGGTCAGACCCTCTTTGTTGGTGGAGCTTGCAATGGTGGTGGCTTCAGTTTCCTCCTTCTCCTCCTCCTCCTCCTCTTCCTCTTCCTCTTCTTCCTCCTCTTCCTCCTCTTCCTCCTCTTCCTCAGCTTCACCAGTGCCCTCCTCAGCCACCACAGTGCCATTGCCATTAGGTCCAATACCCTCTGTGGTATTTGTGCTTGTGCCATTGACACCATTCTCATTCTCATCTACTTCTTCCTCTTCTTCCTCCTCTTCTTCCTCATTCTCATCACTGTCTTCATTTTCAGAGTCTTCCCCCTTGCTGGCAGTCCTCTGCCTGATCCCTTTCAGGGTCCCTTGACAGCCCTTGCCCTTGCAGAGGAAAGACCACTCAATATTACTTGGATGTTAGGAGACTGCAGCTCCAAGTGGAAAGGGACAAGTATGGGCACAGCTGAGTATCCCCCCACACCTTGCATGGCAGGACTGTCTTTTTGGGGTACCCTTTCCAAACCCAAGTTAATGCCCAGAGCTTGGTCCAGCTATGGCTATTTCGACAGCAGCCCCCCAAGCAGAAACAGGGTGCAGGGCATCCCATGGGTGCAGGCAAACATGCAGTGAACAGCCCCCTTGAGCTCCCCAAACCACACCTGCTGGTATGTGACGTCTCCTCCCAGTGCACCCTGGCACTCTTCAGGGGCTGCTCCAGCAGGGTGTCCAGCTGCCTTGGTGCCAGCATAAAATGGCTCCTGCAGGGACAGGGACAGGACAGGGCAGGGGGTCAGCAGCTGGAGTGGAGGGCAGGCCTCTCAGCAGTGAGAGGGGTACAGAGCATCCACACACAGCATTTGGGCATTGATCCGAGTTCCCTGCTTTCCCATGGGACTTGTTCCAGGCTGAAATGGAGAAGCTGCAGCAGGGCAACTGGAACTGTGCAATCATGTTTTGCTTTGCAAAGCATGTAAAGGTTTTTTTCTGAAGTTCCCTCTCCCAGTTTCCCGTAAACAAAGAAAACCACAGGCACACTACATGTGGACACACTGCACGTCATGTGTGGATGGTCACTGAGAATGTGATGGCTCAAAGCCAGATGTGAGCCCAAACCCCACCAGCAATCAGCAATCAGCAATGCTTGGCCCCTGAGATCAGCAGCAGAGCAGGGCTCTCAGTGGTGTGCACGGCTGAAAAAAAGAATAACCCAAATGTAAACAGAGCCTGGAGCAGCCACTGAGGAACTGGTGGGGCAGTTCACCCAGTGCCCAGCCTGCAAGGTGGAGAAAATGAGCCCAGCCATGGCAGGGAGACCCGAGGTCAGTGTCATCACTGCCCTGGGCAATCCCTGCTGCTCGCACACCAAGACCAAGGCACCTATTCTGGCATTTTGGGCCACCTCAGACGGGTGCACCTGATGGCAGAGAAACTCCAGACTGCTCTTCTCTCCA